TAGATCCTCACAACTTACCTTTCTGTACCTTAATGATGAGGTTATACCCAAGATCTAATTTCTTCTTTGTTTTTCAGCTGACAACAATCACCGCTTGAACCTTTTCTTCCTTGCCAATGATGTGATACAAAACTGCAAAAGAAAGAATGCCATTGTCTTTCGTTCAGCCTTCGCAGAGGTCCTTCCTAATGCTGCTCAGCTCATCAAGTGAGTACTCGGTGTAGTACCAGGCCAACATCATATCTGTTTTTTGTTTTTATCTACATGGCTGTTACTGGTTAAAAGAAAAGTCTGGTTTCCAAATAAAAATGCTAAGTCTGTCCTCCCTCTGCTAGTATTGAGATGTGCTGTGTTGTGTTTTTCATTGACAGAGATGGAAAGGTCCGCAAGTCAGTGGAAAGGATCTTTTCAATCTGGGAGGAGAGGAGTGTGTATCCTGAGGAGGTGATCGCCCAGTTCAAAGCCAGCTTGAACAAAAAGGAAAAGGAGCGAGAGAAGCAAAAGGAAAAGGAAAAGGAAAAGGAGAGCCCGTCTGCAAATGGTCAGCTTGTAACTTCAGTTTTCACTCTGAATCCTGAAGAAGTCCAACTAATCAAAAGTGCACTAAATTACTTCAGTCACCCCCAATGATAAGTTACATGGGTTCCAGGTGCAGTAGTACATGTATGTCTCAAGTCTATTTCTTATTCTTATTCTGCAGCTCCAGCCAACACTAAAGCTGCCCTCAAATCCAAAATTGTAGCAGAGTTCACAGTAAGTTATTTGTATTGTTATATCACTTTGACTGGTCTGTCCTGTGACAGATGTATGAAAAACAATGCCATATCTCATCATGTTTGTTCTTTTGCCCTTCTTTTCTCTTCTAGCCCCAGTCCCTTATTGAACAGCTGTCGAAATACAAGAGAGCAGTTGCAGAAGAGGAGTTCAGGGAGAAGCAGCTGGCAGCTCTCAGGGTGGATGTGTGTAGCACAGAGGCCCTCAAGAGGCTTAAAGGTCAGATGTTACTTACACATACACCTCATGCCATGTCTATAAGATTGATGTTAAGGTTTTAAGTCCTGTTTTTCTTTGGTAGCTTGGAAAAGGCTGATTGATTTGACTTGGTAAACATGAATGCAGCAGCACAGTGTCCTCAAATGTCACATTTTGTTTATCACAGTGCATTCAGTTTTTTCACCAACTTCAAACCATTAACTCATTATGCTCTGAACTCCTGAGGTGGCTCGCCATCTCTTACCAATTGCTCTGCTTTTATGTATTTATTTTTCATTTTAACCTAAAGCTGTGTAAACTAAGATTTTGCACGCTGTCTGATAAATCAAGGGAAATTGTGATAGGATGTGGTGCCACTTCTATACTCCTTCCAACCCCTGTATTTCAGTTTGTCATTCACAGTGTCCTATATTTAAACATGAGACTTGAACAAGCCTTGTAATGAACTTGCTGTTTGTCAATTCCAGACAAGGCAGGAGGGAACAAGTTTGCTAAGGACTTTGAGGATGGGAGCCTGAAGCTGCAGGAGTTTGTCAGCTTCCTGGAGAAACAGCTGAAAACAGGGCCTCCTCTACTGGAAGCTCTGGGAAATGCAGACATTTTCTATGAAATGCAGTACAAGGAGGTTAAGATTGTGGCCAATGTGAGTGTCAGGTCAAAGAGCTTCATCACTTTTCTAAAGATATAAAGATTGTGGTTCTTCTTTCTTGATGTTAAATAACAGTTTGTTTAAAAGAAAGGGTGTTAAAATAATGATGATCCAGACATTTACTGTAAAGATATCATTACTGTGTTGCTTTGTAACAATGACCGTTAGTCAACTGATCCTAGAAAACAATATAAAGGTTGCAATAGATACAAGTAAGCTGGTGCCCCCTCCCCTTTTTTTTAAAAACTTTTTTTTGTATCTCCAGTTAATAATGTTATGTCTACTCTCCTTCTGCCAATCTGTTCAGGCATACAGTGCCTTTGCCAACCGTGTGGCCAGTCTTAAAAAGAAACTGGATTCCCTCAAGTCAACTCTACCTGGACCTGAGGACTCTCCCATCCCCTCGCTCTCAGAAGATGCCCCCTCCCCTACCGACTCTGAATCACCCTTCATGGAGCTGGGGGCTAGCAAAGCCCAGGTGGATCCAGAGCTGGATGGCAAGGCCATGGATGAAGCAGAGTTACCGAGTGACAACAGAGATATGGAGGACATGGATATGTCTGATGAAGAGGCTGATGCTGTCACAGCAGGGGGTTAGTGGTTACAGAGTGTTGTAGGTCTATGGTGGCACTATAGTGAAAATTGTCTTCTCAGTATACATCACATTATGTTTGCCAGCTTTAGTGTTGTGATTTACATTTGAAATTATATCAGCTTTTTAAATTGCTTTTACTACCAGATGAAAAGAAAGACAAGGTGTCCAGTGCTGTTGCCAAGACAAACAAGTCAGATGCTACGTCAAAGCTTCCAACCACAGCTACAAAAGCTTCTAAGACCAGTGCCAGTGCTGCAGCCACCCCAGTGACTCCGACCTCCACTACTGCTCAGAGTGCTCCAACCACCCCTCTGGGAGTCAATCTGGCGAAGGTGGACCTGGGAAAGATCAGCTCCATTCTCAGCTCACTCACATCCGCCATGAAGACTACTGGTGTGCTTGGGGGATTGGGGAAGATGTTGTAATAATGATCAAAATGTGTAGCTGAAAGCTCCCTTATGTACAAGGGATTTAAGTTTTTGTTTGGAATCGCTATAAGAGACAAAAGTCCTGTGAGACAAAAGGAAATGCCAGTTTTTACTTTGTACGAACCACAGGGAGCCATAGATAAAAAGCCTTGTGATTTTGGCTATAGTTTGTCACCTAATAGAGAATGTGAATTTGATGTCACAACATTGTGAATTTTGCATAAATGTGCCATGTTTGGAGCATGACACTCATAATCAGTCATAGATGCAGTATATACACTAGAAGTAGCAGCAGCTTTATTTTATTGTCATTGTAAAATTGTTACTCGGACAACGAAATGTTGTTTGGAGCCGAGGTCCCCGGGCGGCTGCGTGCATACAGGCTGCCATCACGGGCAACTTGGGGGGGTTCAGTGTCTTGTCCAAGGACACTTCGACATGTAGAGCGCAGGCACGAGATTTGAACCCTCAACCTTCCTTTCCTTAAAAAAAAAAAAAAAAACAACTATCCAATACATACAGTAGTGGATGCTTCAACTATGTCCAAACATCCACTTGACTGTGCAATTTGAGCACAGACGGCAGAAATGGATTCATCTGCAGTGTTTATCAGCAGCTAGCTAGTGTTAGTTCCCAAACTGAGAGTTGAGATCAGGGTGCAGTCATTTTTCAGTCTGTCGCTCTTGTAGATGGGATCTCAGGGTCCATCCTAAGTTAATCACAGTCAGCTAATGTTATCCACCCTGGATTACCACACTTAGTAAAGTGAGATCTGAATGGTTTAAGAAGCTTTTCAGCCAAACAAAGCAAGAATGTATGCAGGTAAATGCAGGGTGTACCTTCAAAAATGGCACCCCTGTCAACATTCAACATGGCATGACATATATTCAAATTCTCTAAAGGTATTTTAATTGACTCTTGAGCTTGGAATAGCTTTTTAAACAATGCCTTTTTTCTCACTTTTTTCAGTTTTGAGTGATTTTAATATGAACAATTGCCAATTTTATATTCAACAGGCACACACTTAGTCATGTTAGAGTGACATTGTACAAGCTTGTTTTCATGAAAAACAGTTGTCACTAAAAATCCATTTGCAAGATCTGCATAATGTCTAAAGCCAGGGTTTTCCCTGCCATAGAAAGGCTTAGAGTCTAAGCCTTAGATGCAGCGCCTAACCCAAACAAATGTAAAAGGGCGACATATCAGAATGAATGTAAAAGCAATGTTGAGTTAAGTTTTTGCACTGAACAGAGAGGTGATTTGATCTCAAACTGAAATGTAAGCTGCAACAGGATAGCCCCAGCTCACGTCTCTCATGTTACATACTCTAACGTTAGCTGTGACTTAAACTGATGACAGGATAAAATTAAACGTGCTGTTGTCGGGGTTGTGACCTCACTGTAGCCGGTGGAGAAACAGAAAACACAGCTGTCCGCTGTTGGATGAAGATCGTTTATAAAGTAAAGAGGCATCCCTTTGTAACACCACAGGAGGATTAGAGTAAACGGAGTGTTTCTGTAGTTCCAACAACTCCCACAGTGAGATGCCTTCACTGGTGAAACCATCAGTTGATCTTATATCAGTAATGGCAATGTAGCATATTCTGCGGGATGGTGTACACACAAATGGTTATGAGGATATGTTGTCTGTCATCTTTTACCTTCTATTACATAAGAACAAATCCTGCACTTTCGTTAGCATTTTGTTTATTTGCCCAGAAGGGTACAGGGATACCTCCACAAAGAATTCTTGATCTAGACTGTAACTTTGTTGGTAACTCTGGTGAATGGTAATAATAAAGGTAAAGTAAAGAAATTGTTATTGTAGCTAAGTTTGAATTTCCTTTAGAACTGGAGTTAAAAAGCACCTAAGCTGTCTGAAAACCCTGGTAAAGCACAAAGATTTCAATTTCTCTGTAGGACTTGCACTTGGGCTTTGATGCCTCCTGTTGATCCCTTCTCTCTCTGATCTTGACTTCTTCTTAGCAGCTAGTCCAACACCTCGGCCGTCTCCTGGGACTCCCACCCTCCCCTCTAGCCAAGCAACCTCAAAAGTGCTCCCTCCGAGCCCTGCCCTGGCCAGCATCCTGTCACGTGTTGATATCACACCTGAAGTTATACTCAACGCTCTGTCTAAAACAAACACATCTGGTAAGACACACTGCTTGTATTTTTAATGAGCTTTTAAATGGTCCGTGTTGTGTTTATTTGCTTTGTTTCTGTCTTGGTGCAGGTTTGTCCTCTCTCCTCCACAGTGTAACAAACACCTCCTCCGCTCCTCCCACCCGAACCTCCCCAGAATCATCATCAGTTAAAACCCCAGTCACCCCAACTACCCCGAAACCAACCCCCACTCTGGGGAACAACCTCAAGCGCGACACACCTGGAAGAACCAGAGACTGGGAGAAAGAGAGACAGCTGTCCCCCCCTCCTCCACCTCCTCCTCGTCACTCGGCTCCCTCTGCCTCTCCTCCCAGTCTGGAATCAAAAATCAACAGTTTCTTGCAGGGTAATCCAGGCTTCAGTCTTGCTTTAGGTGATCTCAGTCCTGACGGGGTGGATGGGACCCCTGTGAGGGATGAAGCTGCTGGCACCCCAACCCAGGATGAGATAATGGACACACTTGGGAGTGTGCCAGAGTGTCTAGGATCATCTGGAGGTCATAATCTCTCACCCACAGCGTACCGTAGCGAACCCTGGGATGCTGTGATCACCCCATCAGGAAGCAACAGTGATGGAGACTTTCTTGGCTCTTCCTCCTCTTCCCAGTATGGAGCTGGGAAAAAGAGCAGCTCAAAATTAAAGGATGATGATGCAATGAATGTGAAGAAGCAGGCGTCCTCCTACCCCAGTACTGACATGAAGGGTAAGAAAGACGGACAGCACAGGATGATGGGTAACAACAGAATGCTAGGAGAACGGAGACTCTCTTCAGGCTCTCGTAAGGCGAGTACCGGCTCAGAAGACGGAGGTCTGAGTGGCAAAATAGAGGACAAGGGGAAAGGTCAAGAGTCTCCAGGTCGAGATGGGAAGGAGGGCCAGTACCATCGTATTGAGACATTAGTGTCACCCTGCACTGAAGGGGCCCCCATCCTGACACTAGGCTACTCTAACCGCCCACTTGCTGGAGAGCGCATCAAGACGGTAGAGAGCATCCGTGTGATTGGCCGAGGCTCTCGGCGAGGGGGAGGGTCTGGGCGGCCGGGGGGTGCTATGTGGTATGAAGAGGAAGAATACATGGAAGCTCAGCCTCCTTCACCCCACGCTGTCCCCCCTCCTCTTAACATTGGTCAGGCAGTCACAGAGGACATGACTCCCACAATGCCTCCTCCTCACCCACATCTCCTCCTTCCACATCTTCACCCTCCTCCATCTCATCCTCACCCACATCCCCCTCCCCAAGCTCAGTTCCAAATGCCATACCACACTGAAAACATCCAGACCCCTCCTCCGTCCCTCCTCCCCCAGCATCCTCCGCCTACATCCCCTTTCTTCAGTGTTTCTCCAACGATTCCCCCACCCCCTCCGCCTCCCGTACCGCAGCGACCTTCCCCTCCACCTGCCCACTCTGCTCTGCCCTCTGCAGTCATGGTGGGGGGAGTGTTGGTTCCCGTTGACCGTCCCCTTTCTCTTCCTCCCCCAATCAGACCTGAAGGTGCAGAGCGAGGTGGAGTGGGGCTCAGAGGAAACAAAGTGACCCCTCCACCCCTGATGACCTCATTACTAGGCGATCCCCCTAAGCTGCCCCGTCCTGGCACAGTTAAAGAGCCTTTTGTCCCACGCCATGCACCCCCACTCCACCGCCCAGGTGCCCCTGGTGTTCCTCCACCTTTACTGGGTAGAGTGAAGGAGCCTCTGAATCTACCTCTTCCTTCCCCTTCTCCCTCTCCCACATCCTCTACAACCTCTCCCTCCACACCTAACTCCCCTGCAGTTGATGCTGCCCCCGCTCGCCTCCCTGCTCAGTCTGCTGCCCCTCCTCTCCAGAAACCCTCTGCTAGTCCTCCAGCACAGCCTCGCAGCCAAACCCCTGTTCCCCTTCTTAACTTGCCTAGCCCTCGACCCCCGATCCTCTCAGTCCCCATCCCACAAAGACCTCTACTCCGAGGCCGAACCCCCTCCCAGCAGCTTAATCAAGATCTCCGCATAGGAGGGTTTCGTGGAGGCAAGCGGTCCGGTCCTCCATTCACAGGCGGTCCTTTCCAGAAGAGACCCTTCCTGCCCCCACGCTACTGATGTGGTCATCTGTGACAAGCTGAACGAGAAGCAAGCCACACATCTAGCAGTGCAGTGTGTGTGTGTTAGCCCTACTGGTATGAGCTCAGATATCGTCACTCTGTTAATTAGCTTGAATTAAAAGCAACCTTGAGTCATCTGTAAATAGCTGATTTAATCTCCATGCATCAACTAGCTAGTCAGTCAAAACAGCTCAGAGGTTATCCGTTACATATTGCAGAGTGTTGTGTAACAGCTTTCATTTTCTCATTTTTCTATTTCTCATTTGTGTTGCAGCCGTGGTTAACACTTGTTCATAGTTTGGAAGTACCTGCTGTAAATAATACTTTTCTCTTGCTCAGCCTTCCTCACCCTTCTGTCCCTCTCACTGTAAGCTTGTAAATATAAAAACTGAAATGATACAGCTTTTTCTCTTCAAGCTCTTCTTTCTGTGAACGAGGACATTGATCGTCACTCACACACCTCGTCTTTACTGTGATTGAGGCCTTTAGCTCCAGAAGAAATTTTCTGCAGTATTTGTTGCACCTTCCTGTCCTTTTGAAAGCACCAAGCAGAAGAGGAGGGTGAAGATGATTATGTATTTTTATTTCTAACATTAATGTCTGTCTGTGTGCGCTTCAAGTTAGACTGAGTCATGAAGATACTCAGTGGGGGGAGGCATTTCAGTTTGAATCTCACTCTTGCTAGGCTTCATTATGTACTGACTTGAATAAAATCCAGAGTTTCAATTCAACTTGGGGGAGGGGGGGTATGAGGAGAGATATTTTATTTGGTCACCATTTACCACTTGAATTGCGCTGTTTTAATTTATTTGTGCTGTTCAGCTGTATATTCTTCCTGTTTTCAGAGAAATTGTTTTCATTTACCTGCACAGCTGCTGCCATTTTCACGTTTCAGTAACATTTAACAGCTTTATTTTTTGCACCATATTTTTCTACTAGATAGAATTAGTAGTTGTGTGTTTGTAGCACCACCCACAGAGGGGATTTGAGATTTGGGGGGGGGGGGGTTTTCAGCTATTTGGGTTTTTTTT